CTTCCCAGATTATTCCTCACGCAAAGACAATGTGGGAGAAACAGTGGCCATAATCGTTGGGGTAATAGCAGGTGTTGCCATCCTCATTGTTCTCCTCTCATTTTGCCGAAAAGCTATTGGTAAAAGCAATTAAGTTTATTCCCCTTTATTTTCACCCACATCCTTATTCAAGAAACAATTAATTGTTTCTTCCTTTCCTATTTTTTCCAGAATATTGAATGGCAGATACAGAGGAGTTAAAATGGTTCAATCAAGGAGCAGATATGGCGCTTCTTCTTCCACTTAAGGAGACTTCATGAATATGATTTTTAAAACTCTCCAATATCATTTTCTGCTTCTTTTTGTCAAATTTTTAATACATCGATCGTATCATATATGGTTTTGCAGAAATTAAGAAATCCAACTTGTCAAAAATCGTACACCAAGGACATGATGAGAATAATTGATAAATTAAAATCTCAATTTCATATTCAAAGAATAACAATTTGATTTATTGTATATTACATGAATCATATACTACACAATTTCAAACTATAAATTAAATCCCACAAAGAAACTGAAATCGAAATCAACAATGATTATTGATGAATATGCGATTGAATGAAATTGATATATTTAAAGTCCGGAGGTGAAAGGCACGCCAGTCGCTGTGAGCCAGGAATTACCGGCGAGGAAATTGGCGACGGTGAACTTCGATGCATCGGTTGCGCTGGTCAGAACATGGTACCCCTTCCAATTGACTCTGTTCGCCGTGGATGAACCCGGTCCGGTGTTAGCATACTCTGCATAATACAAAGTGTCCAGGGCAAAATTACCATCCCATTCAAGCCATCCCGCCGGAGCAATTAAACTACCCAGGACAGTTTTCATGAACACCGTCCGGGAATACTTCTGCCAGGGTCTTCCCAGGTACGTTTTAACCGAGCTCTGGACCGGTTTCAGGTCAGAAGCTGCCGCGACCTGGGAGTTGTGGATTACAATTCCGGTGTTCTGGTTTGGGTCAGTTCTCCCCTGTGCCGTGATAGTGTTGGTCTTGTTAGGTGGATTTCGCGCGTAAATGTTGCAGTTTTGGAGAACAGCGGCGGCGTTGCCAAATATGAAGTCTACCGTCCCATAAATGTCACATTCCCTGTAGAATTGTCTGTCGGAATAGACGTAGAGGGTGTCTTGATATCCTTCAAAACTGCATCTATAGAATACGGAGAGGTCGGAACCGGAGCGGAGCGCCACTGCTTGGTGGTTGTTGGGCCCGGCCGTGTTCCGGAAGGTTATGTCTCGCGCAATGAAACCGTCTCCCACAACGGCTGAAATTTCAAATAACAGAATGAAGAACAAATTAGAAAATGCCGATTAAAAATTTAGAAAAGAAAATAGATTTTTTCTTTTCAATTTTCTACTTAAAAAATTAATGACGTTTTGAGATTAAAGAGTTTTAATTTCAGTGGACCAGCTGACAGCTATCAAAATTGTAGGTTTGCCAAATTTAATTATCTAACATTACCTTACTGGCTAGCCCCAGGGTTTTTCTTTATTTTTGGAAATGCTATTGTATAATTATTTTGTTTTTTTTTTTAATAATTTGATGTGTCGTTAAAATAATTAATTTTTTAAATTTATATAAAATTCATGATATTAAATGCATTTACTCATTTAATAATATGTAAAAGTTATATAAAAAAATAAAATAAAATAATTGTTCATATAACATTACCTTCTATTTTTTGTTACTTTCTTTTCGTAATCTTTGAAATTTAATGAAGACTAATAATTAACGCCATATTAGGGCGAGAGAAAGACCCAAAGGTTTAATCTACAGTATGCAGAGAGCTTTTCAACTTGTCTTTAAATATATAATAATTATTATATTTTATTTATATTATTTTTTAAATAAATTTAAATAGAATATATATTATTAGGAGTATAAAAAATGTTTTAAAGTAAAAGTACAATTTTTATTTAAATCTTAAACATAGTCAGTTTAAAAACGAATAAACTAATAAATAAATAAACTTTATTTACATTTGTTGATAATAGAAAAAATTAAATTAACTTTTATTTAATTAACTATAAAAAATTATTTTAAAAGTTCAGAATTATTTTTTTATACTTCTCATATCAACACTTATTATTAATTCACATTGGATATCTCTATATTTGTTGGCTCATTTTAAGAATTGTAAAAGGAAAAAAGCTAAGGTCAAAATTGCAGGATTAAAAAAAAAAAAATCAAAGGCGCCCCCGCTCTACGTTAGGTGGAATACCCTTAGACTTGTTTTTGTTAATAATTATAAGTACGAATAAATTGCATGTTAAGTATTATTACAATGACTACGTCTTGGACCAAAGACTTTGCTCATTTGGCTACCCTCTTACCATCTTTTTAAAAAGATCATAGAGGCATATTTTGAAAAGCTTTTCCACATCTAACGTCACATAATTATATTTCAGCGAAAATTTGCACCCCTTAATAATCATGATTAATAATGCGACCACCTTAATTATATTTTTGTTATATATCAAAATTTCGCTTCAATATATATATATATATATATTTGACATTAATTAGTATATTATTCAGTTTAACACATTATATAATATATTTAGTTAAAAATTATTATTTTAAATATAAAATTAAAAGTAAAAAAATTTAAAAATGTAGTTATATATATAGATATATATATAGCATATAATTGTTGAAAAATATGTTGAATAAGAAGATATATTATTTATTTCAACTCTTTGTTGGTTCAATTTGTCACTTGTAAACTAAACATATATAAAAAGCTTGGGATAATGCAATAAAGATTATTTATATATATATACAACTTTTATTTGTAATGGTTATGTATGTAATTAAATGAATAAATGTATAATATATCACAAATTTTAATTAAAAGAGTTTAAAGTAAATATTAAATAATAAGTAAGACTCGTATGAGAAAATGAAATAATAAAAGTTGTCTATCATTTTCCAAAAGCTAAAAACTTAGGCCTTCCCTAATCCTGTTTTATTTTCAAACAAATTATGATACGAAAGACAAATCTACCGAAGCTGAAAGTCCATGAAACTGACTTTTGTTATTCTAGATTTCCCTTTTCTTCTTCCCTGCTTAGCTAGATCTCAAGAATTTAAACTTTAACATTATAAATGTGTTAACTAATTTCACCTAGCTAGCATTACAGAAGAAAAAAACCATATCATCATATATAGCATATCAATTAATTAGGATAATGAAGAAAGTGATGTCATCACTTACCAACGGTGGCTGATCTGAAAGTTGTAGTTCCTCCTCCAACGCTCTTGCTGCCGGTGATGATCGTCTTTCCGATACCATCGCCAACCAACATAATGTTATTCAACTTTGATCCTATTTCTACATTTTCTGAGTATGTACCTTGTTTAACGTATATCACATATCTTCCGCTCCCACTCCTCTTTGAAGCAGCAGTGATGGCTTCATTTACTGTCTTAAAGTTACCGGAACCATCTTTCGCCACCACAACGTTAGGAACCACTGAGGAAGCCTGCAAGAGTTTCCGAGTCCCGGAATTGACCCAAGTAGGAAAGCCATCTTTATAGCTAGGCTGCTTGTAGGGCGCCTTGTTAAGGGCTAAGGTGTTGCTGATCAAATTGGAAACGTTGTTTGACATTAAGGGTAAGATGTGATCAGACACATCGAGCTCAACAAAACCTGCCTGACAGGTTTGGAAGTTGGTCAGGGCAGTGCTGAGCCATGTTTGGGTATCGTCCTTGGTGCACTCAGAACCAAGAGTTTTGTTGAGCTTGAGGATGGTGTGCTCGTAGAGCTCAAGGCAATCATCCCATGCAGCCTTTTCACGCTCGTCTCGACACTGTGGGCCTAGAGAGTAAGTCTTACTCCGAGCATTAGCTGCTCGATCTAGAGAAAGTTGGAGGGAAATTTTGAGGAAATTAGACTCATCCTTGATAGGTGTTTGGTTTTGATTCTGGGTGAGAAAATACTCACAAGGCTGTGGGTATGGCATTTTGCTGCACCACGACTGGGCGTCATTGGGGCTATACGCAAAAATCGTTTGAGAGAAAAGAAGAGGGACTAAGAAAAATGCTGAGACAATTCGGGACAGCATCATTGATGATGAAAGGATCATAGAGTACTGCTTAGAGAAAATATGTGAAGGAAGAGGCTGTTGAGTTTTTGTGGCAAATGGTTTCCAGTTTGGGCTCTTTATATAGAGGACGTGAGGGGTGTATTCTTTCTATTTCTATAAAAAAAAGAAAAAAAAGTTACATGCTTGGATTTTGTATTTCTGTTGACTTGAAGGGATTATAAATTTTTATAATTCACTTTTCAATTCTCTCATGAGTCCATGATAAATATTTAAAAGTCAGCTTTGATTGGCTGGCACAAATTAAGCCAAGTTTTTTTTTTTTTTTTAACGAAAAGCCTAAACCTTGTCGTCATGAAATTACACTTTTCATATCATTTTTCAATTCATATTAGTTAAGTAACATATTATAGTCCCCCATCTATCCCAGCATAATTGTTGCCCTTTTCAAAATTTTTTTCATGTATTAAGAATTTGTTGACAATTTACACTTTTATTCATATTCTCCTTAAAGAAAAAA